TAGAAGAAATAGAGATAGAAGCCAATCTCGTGATAGAAATTATAAAGATAGAAGTCAATCTAGGGACAGAAATTATAGAAGCAGTTCTAGGGACCGAAGTCAAGATAGATGGAGATCTAGGTCTAACCGCTTACCATTACTCTACTATTGAAATGTCAACATAGCTGAAAAGCAACCTGTCTCTAATTCTAATAATTGGAAAAGATTGTTAGACAACTATTCTATTAGAGCTGCTCTAACCACCTACATCACTGAAGCCAATAGAGAAAATACCAAACTTCAACCCATTAGTACCATTACTCCTATTAAATGCTATATTGATATCCAAGACTGTACTTACCCTGCTATTATTAATAGTGAAGCCTCTGTTAGTATAATCTCGCACCAAACTGTAAAAGAATTAGGTTTTAAAATTGAAGAACTATCCAAAAGCCTTATTGTTGCTACTATTGGCACTACCTCTAGACCTCTTAGAATTATTAGAAATTTGTCTATTAGGATCCAAGGTTGACTTATCCTCTTAGATGTAGAAGTTGTACCTGCTACTTTTTATTCTATTCTGTTTGGTAATGATTGGTTAAAGAAAGTAGAAGCCAATTATAATTAGAAAACATGCTAATATACTTTCTATTGGAAAGGAAAGAAGATTGTTCTTGATACTTCTTATGAGCAAAAAAAGCCTAAAGAAAAGAAACCAATTTGTACTACTGCTGAAGATTTTGAATTATATGAGCAAGAATATTTGACACCTCATAAAGCTTATGCATTTTCAGCATTCTCAGAAGATGAAGACCAAGGATAGACTACCTACCAACCTCGATGAAGAAAACCACCTTGCAAAACCTGTGGTCAAGCTAACCACCAGTACAAAGATTGCCTCTGAAATCAATATTATTATTGCAACAAAATTGGACATGTACTTATCAACTGTCCCAACAAATGTGAAAGATCAAATGGCTATAAAACTTGTGAACAAACTGTTCACTTGTTTAAGGATTGTTCTGATAATCAATACTATAGCTGTAATGAATTTGGCTATATCAAAATTAACTGCTCTCTTGCCCAACTCAAACTTGACAATTTGACTTACAAATGTGACTGTGACAAAGACCAAATAGAAGAAAGAAGAATGACCTACTATAGTAGAAGGAGGACTCATCATTGTTGTCATTGCTACACCCCTCAAACCTGACAAACTATACAAATTAGAAGAAAAACTTGCTTGTACCGCTTGTTACAAAACATACTATGAAGCTCTTGACCTAGAAGACCCCAGAAGCCAGGAATATTACAATACAGGACTTGGTAGAGGAACTCTTGTCCGATGTAAACTTTGTAATATTCAGAAATCCAGATCAAGAATGCATAACATAGAAAGCATACGAGAAGAATTGTGGTTCTGTGAATTAAAACACATATATGCTTATAAAATTTTTATAGATCTTCAATATAATTTAAACTATAAGATTTGAAACAGAATCAGGCATTATACTGAGTCTACTAAAAATGCTAGATATCAGTATGATTTAAACCAGGATAGAATTTATCGGCTAGTTAAAGTTCTACTTGATGAAGAATATAGAAACATAGAAAAAACTATAGAAGAGCAAGAAGATGATAGATATAATCGAGAATGGATCCCAAAGAGATTACTATTTTATTTCGAGCAGAGCAAGTATTGTTTACAGAAGAAGAAGAGGCCACTTTATAATGAGTCTTAAACGAATCATTTAATACTTCTCAACCTGACTTTGATACTTGCAAAGCTATTGAGAATTTAAGAAAGAATTTTGAAAGAAAAGTAGCTCTTTGCCAAGAGTGCCTCTTTGTTAAACAAAGTACTGAATTAGAAGCTAACCAAAGTCTTTGTGATGAATGCTATCAAGAGAAAAACAAACCCCCTCCTGTTGAAAAAACAATTACAGAAGAAATACACCAAGATGATATTATTACTACAGAACAGCCTATAGAAGAAGTATATCATGATGATATTATTATGGCAGAAAAATTTAAGATAAGTGAGGACACTATCTTTGAGAAGAGGAAGGATGAAGAAAAAGACCAAGTTATTACCTGATTAAAAGCCAGAGTCCAATACTTGGAAGAAAATTTTGAAAAGATGATAAAATTTTTCCAACAACAAATCCAACATCACCAAGAATGAGC